AAACTGCTAAATTTAAAATAAACCCATTTATAAAAAAAAACCAAACCATTTCAGAAAATGAAATACTTTCGAAAATTTATTTGTTAAACTTTATCATAAAATATACATGTAAATAAACTCAGTTTTCGATAGGGTTGCAATCTCACAACGTTATCGGAAAGTTTGACCAGAGAACGTCTATCATATAGAAGGTTCACGGCGCGTAGATCGTAAAAATATTTTTGGCTAACTCGGTCGAGATGGGCCAGTTTCACCACCGCTAGCTTGGCAGGAGAAATTTTAACATTTTCGTTTGAACAGAGCTGAGCGTGAAATAAAAATTATGCTGAAAAATATATATTGCTCTAACAGACGTATGTATGTTCGCTCTTTTGCTTATATTTGTATACGTTTATATGCAAACGTGTGTACTCGTATGAATTCTTTTTTGCATATTAATGAATACATGTGCAATTGAATAAATTTAAATTAAATTACTTTTCAAAGCAATATTCGTAGTTACATATGTATATAAAAAACTATCATAATATTATTAAAAAAATTAAATACTACACTAAAAACTACAAACATTGCTTTACAAAAACAACAATCGTTTGAAATAGCATCATACATACTTATATGCGTACACATGTAAATATGTGCGTATGACATTCCCACACAAATAATCCATACACAACATACATACTTATATGCGATCACATGTAGATATGTATGTCACCCGCATAAACTACAAATATTTTTCTACAGAAACAACAAACGTCTCAAATACAGACAAATAGTCGATGCCCAAATGTGTAGAAAAGTACACAACAACAATATTTTCATTAATGAACGCAAGCGACTTTCAACAGGCAAACTTGCTTCATTCATAAAAACAAACACCAAGACATTTCCCCGAGCATGCCTTTGCCTAAAAGTGTATTTTTGCGACGATGTCAAAAGCTAAAAATCATAAATKGAACAATTTCTGATATTTGTATGAGAAGCAAAAAGTGACAACCCCGCAAATATAAGTATTCAAATATATTTCAATAAAATTGACAACATAGATTATTTGTCGATTTTCAAGTCTAGAAATGTGCCAAAGAAAATATTCAATATTCCTCTGATTTATGTGTACAGTAAATCCGATTTAAGTAGTACTCCACTTGAAATGAAAATCTTAACTGTCCATATCTTGCTTGAAATACCACTCGCTTAAGTATTCGCACTCGCTTATGTGCCATATTATATTTTTATTTTCACAAACCACGAACAACAGTATCTTAGATTGTTGCACATAACCGGGATTGACTGTATTTGTCAAGGAATGTAAAAAATATTTTTACGCGGCTTGCAAAAATCTGACTCGATATGTATGCAAGCTCACACACAAACATATATGTTAACGCTGGTTTGTTGGCGAAGCTGTACAGCGGCAAGGGAAGCGGTGACAATCGGCGTCCGTTCGTTTACTTTTTTCCGCACAGCTCAGATTTTCTACCAACAATACAATGTTGTGCCGCATTGACTCTTTGACAAAAAGTGAGCTTCGCTATTGGCTGACCGTGTGAACGGAGGTTTCTTATGAAGCATTGAGTGTACATATTTACATGCATATGTTGCATGTAGACAAATTTGCAAACATTATGCGTATGGTCTGTCATATTTGTTTACATGCACACATAATTATATGTATGTGTATGAGCGCATGTACAATAGCTAGATCTTTTAAGATGATATCAAACGTTTTAAGGTAAATGTACTCGTATACTCGTAAATTTAAAACTGATTACCTTAACTTATATCAATTATTTGGGTAATAATACAAACTTCACTCTATTATATAATATATTTTTAATGATTTTATGGAATCATCATGAAATACATATGAAGATAAATTTTAATATACATTCATACATACTTATGCATACATATACTAAGTATATGCTTTGATACCAAATATATACGGATCAAATGTATATAAATTATGTGCTGAGTCGGTTGTGTATAGAAAATAAACGAATCTCTATGCGTAAATTTGTTTACATTAGAATTAGCATTATTTTTCTCATTTAAAACTGAAAATGCTCAATTCTGCTATTTTCGTGGTGAAACCACGATTTCGATTATTTTCGCTTATAATTTGTCTGTGGTGAGACTGGATCACCTCTACCGAGTACCCCTTCGAAAAGTTACGATATTTGAAACGTGAACCTTCTCTATGATAGACGTTCTCTGGTTTGACATTTTTAATGTTTTACATTGTCAATACGTTTTGGCATACCAGCGCTATTTGTGTGGTTTACTGTAACTTAAAATATCTGGGCCAAAATATAGAATAAAATCGCCATCATTTTCGTGCGATTATTTTTTACAACTTTCGACGTTGACTAACTCAGCATCAGTAAATCAATGAACTTAATGAAATTTTTAACGATGAAGCTYCATCAAGGACCTGTATGGTATGGTGAGTTCAATCAAAGTCGGAGATCAACCACTATTGATGCTTTGCGCAAACTGATATTGCAAGATAGTCAAGTGACCTATCATGAGATTAAGATAATTATTTGCTTTATTGGAACATTGCATGAACATTTGATTGTAAAAAAATTGGTCATGTTTGAACCCACCTAACTTGTCATTCGCTCAAAAAATGGCTCTTGTGTTTCTGGAAAAGCTGAACACGCAACAATACCACTAGAACAGTTAATTCTGAGTTGTGAACAACCATTAGTTTGTCAGTTATCATTCAAAAAATCAGGGAAACCAACTGCCAGATCACAGATGGATCACTCTTCTCACACGTCAACTGAAACAATTGCATTTTTGACGTAGTTTTTATTTTTTTAATAATAAATAAATACACAAATTTTGTTTTTTTTTTGTTACATCCGTGCACGGATCGGCAAACATACGAAGGAAAATTACGTGATACGTAAATCGTATGCGATGATTGGCATTATGACATACGATAGCAAACGTATCGTAATGTCTTTTCAATTCACAATAGTTTTTAAATTCCACATTGCTTTGGATCGTTTTTTTTAGGCACAATAGATGTGAAACTGTCAAAACTGTTGCGAAATTTCCARTAAACTAACAAAAGATAATTAAATATCAAAATTAATCCAACTTTGTTTTTTTTTTTATTTGAGTTTTAGTGAAAGTGATGGACATAAAAAAATAGTGCGAAGATAGCTAAGAGGTCGTACCAATAGCGTAGGTATAAAAAAAATTATGAATCCTCATTAATAAAATTTTCTTTGTAGATATATCGTTGAACAAAGCATTGGAATCTTAAAAAGACGGAGGAGAATTTTAGGAAATGGCAAGAGAGAAAGGTATCACCTAACAAAAGTGTGCTGATTTGCTAACGTTTRTGGGACATTACATAACATCTGCATAAAATTTACAATAAGTTTCGACCATCAAAATTCCGATTCTTATCACACACAAGAAATGAACACCGGGGTAGCGAACCGCTTCACCGCAATTGACCAAACGATAAGCAACTAAATAAAGTATTCTTTAATAAATTTAATACAAAAATGTATATGTCCTTAACCTTGCAAATAATTTTATTTTTATTGTCAACAAGAATACAAAAATTTTGTTCATATAAATTTTTTTTTTTTTAATTTTTAATGAGATATGCCATTCATTGGTTTCCTGTTTATGTTCTTTGCTCGCATTTCCATTAATTTGTCTATTACGATTGGTAGTTTTGGATACGTTTATATTACTCGCTCGCGTACGTCATCATGCCAGATTACGATTTAAGCGTTACGATCACGTGTGTCATAATACGAAATACAGACTTTTACGTGAGGAGTGATACGTTCACGGATGTAACGATTCGAATCCAGGACTGTATTTTAGCACGCCTCCTCAACGTTCATATGCATGCATATTACAAATCAATACAATACATATCGGGTGATTTTTTAAGAGCTTGATAACTTTTTTAAAAAAAAAAACGCATAAA